CCAAAAACAAATAAAAACAAAACAAAACAAAACAAAAAACAGAAAACTACTGAGAAGCTAAATGAGAAAACACTATAAAATGTTGACCATTGGGCCTAGCACAATAATACGTACTCAATAAATAACAGTTCTGATTATTACAGCAACTAAGCATTTTAGTTGGTTTAGCAGGTTTTGGTTTTGGTTTTGAGACAGGGTCTCACTCTGTTGCCCTGGCTGGAGTGCAGTGGTGCAATCATGCCTCAATGCAGCCTCAACCTCCTAGGCTCAAGCAACTCTCCCAAGTCAGCCTCCCAAGTAGCTAGGACCTCAGGCATGCACCCGAACACCCAGGTGATTTTTCTATTTTTTGTAGAGACAGGGTTTTGCCATGTTGCCCAGGCTCGTCTCAAACTCCTGAGCTCAAGTGATCCTCCCGCCCTGGCCTCCCAAAGTGCCAGGATTAAAGGTGTGAGCCATCGTGCCTGGCTGGTTTAGGTTTTTAAATCTTCAATGCCTTCATGCCTTACAAGGTCATTCATGATCTGGTCCCCCATCTACCTCTTTCAGCCTTATCTCTTGCAGCTTTTCCAATACAACACAGTCACAAATCATAATGAAATATTTGTCTGACCTTTCACATGCTGCTCTCTTGGCCTGATATGCCTTTGCTCTATACCCTTCTGAGCTCAAGGGACTCCTACTTACCCTTTCTGAATTTATTAAGTGCTAAACTGACTTTTCCAATCTTTGTCATACGTCCTTGCTCTATGCTCTATATAATACCCTGTATATCCTAAAATACTACTGTAGCATTTTCCACACTATTTAAATGTTTACCCATTGTCCCTCGCACTGATCTGTGAACTTACATAAAAGATCTTTATAATAATTTTTAAAAACAAGGTCGACAGTTAATAAACATTTAAGAAATAAATAAGCCTCAGAAAAAATTATCACATAAGATATTGCTGTCATTGCTTACAGATTTGAAAAAAAAACTAAAGAGAAAAAGAGTTAATATGCTATGGTCATACAACTAGTAAATGGCTCATTAGGAAACCACATCTCTATAGTTTAAGCTTTCTTTTCTACTATGCCACACTGACCTCAAGAATCTTATAAATCTAATAAGAGAAACTATAGTATACAAATGTCTTTAATACAAAGTGCAATGAAGTATACGCTTGAAAGGAAGTTTTTCTTGATTCTAAAATAAGCTTTATTCATTATACTTCAACGTTTCTGAATCGAAAATCAGTCTATCAATACGTATATTTAATATATTTCTTAATTCTCAAAGAAACAACTATCAAACTGAAGCAGGAACCTATAAGAAAAGGCAAAATAACGTAAGCAAAGTGTTAAAATAAGTTTTAAGAGGAGAGAGAAAACTCTTATGGGGATAAGAGAGGAATAAAAGAAAAATGTTCATAGAAAACAATTAATTTCCGGCTGGGCGCAGTGGCTCATGCTTGTAATCCCAAGACTTTGGGAGGCTAAGGCAGGCGGATCACGAGGTCAGGAGATCCAGACCATACCGGCTAACACAGTGAAATCCCATCTCTACTAAAAATACAAAAAATTAGCCGGGTGTGGTGGCGGGCGCCTGTAGTCCCAGCTACTCGGGAGCCTGAGGCAGGAGAATGGTGTGAACCCGGGAGGCGGAGCTTGCAGTGAGCTGAGATTGTGCCACTGCACTCCAGCCTGGGCAACAGAGCGAGATTCCGTCCCAAAAACAAAAAGAAAAGAAAAAAAGAAAAGAAGGTATTTCCCTGGGATTGAAAGGCATGTATAAAAATGGGATGGCATTCTTGGTGGTGGGAATGCTAAGAACTAAAAAATAGAGGCAGGCCAGGCACAGTGATTCATGCCTGTGATCTCAACACTTTGGCAGACCAAACGATTGCTTGAGCCCAGGAGTCTGAGACAAGCCTGGGCAACATAGTGGGACCCTGTCTCTACAAAAAAGTAGAAAAATTAGCTGAGTGTGACAGCACATGCCTATAGTCTCAGCTACTCAGGAGGCTGAGGCAGGAGGATTGCTTGAGCCTGAGAAGTTGAGCTGCAATGAGCCATGACTGCGCCCCTGCACTCCAGCCTGAGTGACCAAGTTAAGACCCTGTCTCAAAAAGCAAAAATAAAAAGGCGAGGAGGGTGGTGGATCATGACTGTAATCCCAGCACTTTGGGAGGCCAAGGTGGGAGGGCTGCTTGAAGCCGGAATTTCAAGACCACCAGGCCAACATAGCAATATCCATCTCAAAAAAAATTTAAAAATTTAAAAATTGGCCAGGCATGGTATCTCACCCCTGTAATCCCAGCACTTTGGGAGGCCAAGGCAGGCCAGAAGTTTGAGACAAGCCTGGGCAACAAAGCAAGACCTTATCTCTACAAAAAGTAAAATAATCAGCTGGGCATGGTGACACATGCTTGTAGTCCCAGCTACTGTGGAGACTCAGGCAGGAGGATCCCCTGAGCCAAGGAGTTCAAGGCAACAGTGAGCTCATTGTACCACCGCACTCCAGCCTGGCCAACAGAGCAAGACCCTGTATCTTAGGAAAAAAAAAAAAAAAAAGGAAAGAAATATAAATCTATTCCCTCCTTATTAAGAGCTACAGAGTTTTCTGAAGGATCAATGTGTCTGGGTCTTTTAACCATTAATTCCAGTACTTTGATCTCAAAAACTGCATTTCCATAAGATAGTGTCCTAGAAGTAGAATCATTTAATACAACTTGTTTGTAAAGGCTGTTTGTTAACATAAAACCCCACTCTAATTTTTGAGACCCTATCTCTAAAAAGAAAACAAACCCCAAAATGCCATTTGAGTATCCATCTCACCCAGCATTCCTGCTTTGACCCTGAATACGGTATCTGGACTGCAGAAATCTACTTTAGGACCATGATGTTACAACCGTGAAGCACAAGAGTCAACACACTAAGGACAGCAGAGTGCTGAATGAGAAATGGCCAGCATTCATGATGACATTATTGAACTGCTAGATGGAACCACCCTGACATGACACACCTCCAGTTTTTTTTTTTTTTTTTTGAGACAGAGTCTCATTCTGTTGCCCAGGCAGGAGTGCAGTGGCACGATATCAGCTCACTGCAATCTCCGCCTCCAGGATTCAAGCGATTCTCATGCCTCAGCCTCCCAAGTAGCTGGGATTATAAGCAGACACCATCATACCCGGTTAATTTTTGTATTTTCAGTAGAGATGGGGTTTCACCATGTTGGTCAGGTTGGTTTCAATGTATGTATTTGGGAGTTCTGCTCCCAACTAGGATAAAGAAGGTCAAAGGGCAGGCACGGTGGCTCACACCTATGATCTCAGCACTTTGGGAGGCCGAGGCAGGTGGATTACCTGAGGTCAGGAGTTCAAGGCCAGCCTCGCCAATGTGCTGAAACCCTGTCTCTACTAAAAATACAAAAATTAGCTGGGCATGGTGGCACATGCCTGTAATCCCAGCTACTCAAGAGGCTGAGGCACAAGAACTGCTTGAACCCAGAAGACAGAGGCTGCAGTGAGCCAAGATCATGCCACTGCACTCCAGCCTGGGCAACAGAGAGACTCCATCTCAAAAAAAAAAAAAAAAAAAAAAAAAAAAAAAAAAAAAAAAACAAAGAAGGTCACAAAAAAGATTACTGTGCCTACTGTAGTAAGAAAACACCCAATAAATGAAAAAGCATGTGTTTTAAAGACACTGAAGAGGTATAGAAACAAAATGTCTAAATGAACTGATTTTCAGAAAAGAACCAGCCCTTCCTAAGTGAGCAGAGACCAGTAGCCATTTTTAACCCTAAGATGTTGACTATGTCTGGGAAGCATGGGTGAACAAGCAAGCCTGCAACATGCAAAGAACAAGGAAAAGAGTCTCAGCAACTTAATCAACAAAATTGGGAGAACTAGGTCAGTTAATAACCAACAGTCATCAACTTTTTAGATAATCAGATATTATTTAGTTAACTGACCCAATTTTCCCATTACGATGATTAAGTGAACTTCTACTATAACATCTAAACCTTAAGACTACATGAATATTTCTCACAAGATATGCCTGAGTCAGACCCAATAAAAAGTCAAATGGGAAGAATTATGATACTTTTTTCTCTTCTGTTATCTTCAAACATTAAAGAATCCTAAAAATCTCTTTATTAGGATTCACATATTAAGCACTTTTCAACTGGTAGTAACAATATCCCAGTATATAAGAAATACTTGATTCGATGTAAATCTCATCTCAAAGGTCATTTGGACTTAGCAAATACATTGGGTTCATCGGTATTGCTTATGACTTTAAAAGACTCATGGTCCAAATTCCACTCAACCTCTACAGCCAAAATTAAACAAAGCCAACAAGTCTATTGCTGAAAAATCTTATCACAATGTACATCTCTGGGAGTTCTGCTCCCAATTAGGATAAAAGAGGTCACAAAAGATCACTGTATCTGTTGTAATAAGAAAACACTCAATAAATGAAAGAGCATGTGTTGGCTGGGCACGGTGGCTCATGCCTGTAATCCCAGCACTTTGGGAGGCCGAGACAGGCAGATCACGAGGTCAGGAGATCGAGACCATCCTGGCTAAAACAGTGAAACCCCACCTCTACTAAAAATACAAAAAATTAGCCAGGCATGGTGGCGGGTGCCTGTAGTCCCAGCTACTTGGGAGGCTGAGGCAGGAGAATGGTGTGAACCCAGGAAGCGGAGCTTGCAGTGAGCCAGAACGGTGCCACTGCACTCCAGCCTGGGCGACAGAGCAAGACTCCGTCTCAAAAAAAAGAAAAAGAAAAGAAAAAGCATGTGTTTTTTAAAAGACACTGAAAAGGTGTAGAAACAAAATGTCTAAATGAACTGATTTTCAGAGATGAACCAGTCCTTCCTAAGTGAGCAGAGACCAGTAGCCATTTTTAACCATAAGATGTTGACCAAGTCTGGAAACATGGGTGAACAAGCAAGCCTGCAACAGACAGAGAACAAGGAGTAGAGTCTCTTGCTGGAACGAAGAGAAACCAACCAGAATTATGTGGCCTGGCATGGCAGTCTGAAATCTGAAGAAATTCCAAATACAGCAATAATGATCTACCAACTCTCTCCCATGGGACAACTGTACAGTTGGGCTGCAAGGTATAGAGAGTTTTAGTGTTGTGTGGAGCTTAGATCCCCAATCTCAGTTGCAGAGAGACACCTAATACTAGAACAGAAAACTAAAGTTTCAAACCCAACTCTGACCTGACCCAGTTCAATTTTTAATTAGAGCTAAGCAATCAGCCCCTCACCATAGTTAACTGACAAAAGAAAAGAGAAAGCGCTCATGGGTAAGGGAAAGGATACTATCTACTTCAGTCTCTACTATTTCTTCACACACAATCTCCAACGTACAATAAAAATTTACAAAACCAGATAGGAAGACTCAATATTGTTAAAAGGTCAGTTCTTCCTGATTTCATCTATAGATTCAATGCAATCCTAAAAAAATTCCAGCAAGCTATTTTGTAGATATTGACAAACTAGTTCTACAATTTGTACTGAGAGGGAAAAGACTTAGAATAGCCAACACAAAACTGAAGGAGAACAACAAAGTTGGAGGACTGACACTATCCAATTTCAAAACTTACTGTAAGACTAGTTATCAAGCATGGGGGTAGTTACCCCCAAGCTGCTGTTCTTGAGATAGTGAGTTCTCACAAGATCTGATGGTTTTATAAGGGAAGGTTTTCCCCCTTTGCTCGGCACTTCTCTCTCCTGCCACCATGTGAAGAAGGACAAATCTGCTTCCCCTTCTGCAATGATTGTAAGTTTCCTAAGGCCTTCCTAGTCATGCAGAACTGTGGGTTAATTAAACCTCTTTCCTTTATAAATTACCCAGTCTCAGGCAGTTCTTTACAGTAGCATGAGAACGGACTAATACAGTGGTATTGGTGAAACAACAGATCGATGAAACAGGACAGAGAGCCCAGAAATAGACTCACATAAAAATAGTCAACTGATCTTTGATATAAGAGCAAAGGCAATATAATGGAGAAAAGATAGCCAACAAATGGTGCTGAACTGGACATCTATATGTAAAAGTAACCTAAACACAGACCTTGCATCCCTCACAAAAATTAACTCAAAATGGATCTAAACATAAAATGCAGAAATATAAGATAACAAAGGAGAAAAACTAGATGACCTTGGGTATGGCAATGACATTTTAAGTATACCAAAGGCACAATTCATGACAGAAATAACTGATAAACTGGACTCCATTAAAATTTAAAATGTCTGCTCTTTAAAAGATACCGTTGGCCAGGCATGGTGGCTCACACCTGTAATCCCAACACATTGGGAGGCAGAGGCAAGAGAACTGATTGAGCCCAGGAGTTTGTGACCAACCTGGGCAATATAGGGAAACTTCATCTCTACAAAAAATTTAAAAATTAGTCAAGCACAGTGGTGTACCCTTGTGATCCCAGCTACTAGGAAGGCTAAGAGAGTATGATTGCTTGAGCCCAGGAGGTCAAGGATAGACTGAGCACTGATCACACCACTGCATTCCAGTCTGGGTGACAGAGCACAACTTTGTCTCAAAAAAGAAAAAGCGTATAAGAAGAAGTATTTTTTGGACTGGGCACGGTGGTTCTTGCTTGTAATCCAGCACTTTGGGAGGCCAAGGCAGGTGGATCACTTGCACCCAGGAGTTTGAAACAAGCTAGGATGACACAGCAACACTCCATTTCTATTTTTATTTAAAAAAAAAAAAATTTTTTTTTTTAAAAAGATACTGTTAAGAGAATGAGAAGACAAGCTACAGGCTGGAAGAAAATACTTACAAAATAAACATCTGATTTGAAAACTGTTAACCTGGTTGGGCACAGGGGCTCACGCCTGTAATCCCAGCACTTTGGAAAGCTGAGGCGGGTGAATCACCTGAGGTCAGGAGTTCGAGACCAGCCTGACCAACACGGAGAAACCCTGTCTCTACTAAAAATACAAAATTAGCTAGGCATGGTGGTGAATGCTGGCAATCCCAGCTACTCGGGAATCTGAGGCAGGAGAATCACTTGAACCCGAGAGGCGGAGGTTGCAGTGAGCTGAGATTGCACCATTGCACTCCAGCCTGGGCAACAAGAATGAAACTCCATCTCAAAAAACAAACAAACAAACAAAAACACAAACACACACAAAACTGTTACCCAAAATACCCAAAGAACTCTTAAAACTCAATAAGAGAACAGCCTGATTAAAAAATTAAAATTAAAATAAATAAAATAAAAAATGGGCAAAGGATTTCACCTAAGAAGATATACAAACGGAAAATAAGCACATGAAAAATATTCCGTATCATATATTAATAGGAAATGCAAATTAAAACAGTAACATACCACTACAAGCCTATTAGAAAGGCCAAAACCCAGAACACTGATAACACCAAATGCTGGTGAGGATATGAAGCAAGGCAAACTCTCATTAATTGTTGGTAGAAATGCAAAATAATACAGCAACTTTGGAAGAGAGCCTGGCAGTTTCTTACAAAACTAAACACACTCTTACCATACGATCCAGCAATCAAGCTTCTTGGTATTTACCATCAAGGGCTGAAAACATGTCCTCACAAAAACCTGTACACAGTAGCTTTATTCATAATTGCCAGACTTTGAAGCAACCAAGATATCCTGCAGTAGGTGAATGGATAAACTATGATACAGCCAGACAACGGAATATCACACAGAGCTAAAAAGAAATGGGCTTTCAAAGCCATAAAAAGACATGGGAGCCCAGCTCAGGGGCTCATGCCTGTAATCCCAACAATTTGGGAGCCCGAGGCAGGTGGATCACTTGAGGTCAGGAGTTCAAGACCAGCCTGGCCAACACGGTGAAACTCCATCTCTACTAAAAAAATTAAAATAAAAAATTAGGCCGGGCGTGGTGGCTCACACCTGGAATCCCAACACTTTGGGAGGCTGAGGGGGCAGATCATTTGAGGTCAGAAGTTCAAAACTAGCCTGGCCAACATGGTGAAACCCTGTCTCTACAAAAAATACAAAAATTAGCCAGGAGTGGTGGCGCACAACTGCAGTCACAGCTACTTAGGAGGCTGAGGCAGAGAACTGCTTGAATCCGAGAGGTGAAGGTTGCAGTGAGCAGAGATCACGCCACTGCACTCCAGTCTGGGGGACAGGAGTGAGAGTCCATCTCAAAAAAATAAATAAAATAAAATAAAAAATAAAAAATTAGCCGGATGTGGTGGCACATGCCTGTAGTCCCAGTTACTCGGGAGGTCGAGCAGGAGAACTACTTGAACCTGGGAAATGGAGGTTGCAGTGAGCAGAGATCACGCCACTGCACTCCAGTCTGGGGGACAGGAGTGAGAGTCCATCTCAAAAAAATAAATAAAATAAAATAAAAAATAAAAAATTAGCCGGATGTGGTGGCACATGCCTGTAGTCCCAGTTACTCGGGAGGTCGAGCAGGAGAACTACTTGAACCTGGGAAATGGAGGTTGCAGTGAGCAGAGATCACGCCACTGTACTCCAGCCTGTGTGACAGAGCAAGACTTCATCTCAAACTAACTAACTTACTAAATAAAGACAAGGGAGATGTTTAAGTGCATATTACTAAGTGAAAAAAGCCCATCAGAAAAGGCTACATGGTATATTATTCCAACTCTGACATTCTAGAAAAGGTAAAACTACGGAGACATTAAAAAGACCAGTGGTTGGCAGGGGTTAAGGTAGGAAGAAGGGGTAAATAAGCAAAGCAGAATTTTTAGCACAGTGGAACTATTCTGCATGATACCATAATGGTGAATACATGTCATTATACATTTCTCAAAACCCACAGAATATATGAGAAAATCCTAATATGAAATACATACTCTGGGAAATAATGATGTGTCAATGTAGGTTCATAAATTATAACAAATGTACCACTATGATAAGGGATGTTGACAGTGAGGGAGTCTGTGCATGTGTGGAATTAAGGAGTACATGGGAACTCTCTGTACTATCTGCTCAATTTTGTTGTAGATCTAAAACAGGTCTAGGCCAGGCGTGGTGGCTCACACCCACAATCTCAGCACCCTAGGCAACAAAACCAAACCCCATCTCTACAAAAAACTTAAAAATTAGCCAGGTGTGGTAGCACTCGCCTGTAGCGCCAGCTACTCAGGAGGGTGAGGCAGGAAGATCGCTTGAGCCCAGGAGGTTGAGGCTGCAGTGAGCCAAGATTGTGCCCCTGCACTACACCCTAGGTGACAGAGCAAGACACTGTCCCAAAAGGAAAAAGAAAAATTAGCCAGGCCTGGTGGCCTGTGCCTATAGTCCTAGCTATGCAGGAGGCTGAGACAGGAAGATTCAACCCAGGAGTTTGAGGTTACAATGAGCTATGATAGCACCACTGCATTCCAGCCTGGGCAACACAGCAAAACCCTGTCTCAAAAAAATAAAACAGGCTGGGCACAGTGGCTCACACCTATAATCCCAGCACTTTGGGAACTCAAGATGGGCAGATAGCTTGAGCTCAGGAGTTCGAGACCAGTCTGGGCAACATGGTGAAACTCTGTCTCACCATGGTTAATTAACACAAAAATTAGCCAGGCATGGTGGCACACAACTGTAGTGCCGGATATTCAGGAGGCTGATGTGGGAGGATTGTTGGAGCCCAGGAGTTTGAGGCTGCAGTGAGCTATAATTGTGCCACTGCACTCCGGCCTGAACAACAGAGTAAGATCCTGACTCAAAATAAAAATAAAATTTAAAAATCAGAAAAAAAAACTCTAATCCTGCTCTACTACTATCTTTTCTCTAATGCCCAGTTTCCTCTTTTTCCTAATCATACTGAAAAGAAATAAAGAAAAAGTATACAGAATTAAATTATATGTACTCAAATTTCACATAAAAAAAAAATAAAAGGTTAAGCAAGAGTTACCGGATCATGGTTTCCCTAAATCAAAACTTTAATCACACGTAACTTCTTTCCTCAGCTTTCTGTAGCAGCACCATCCAAGAGAACGATCTGTGTGATGATGTAAACATTCTATATATACACCACATAACACAGTAGCATCTAGAAATGTGTGGCTTTTAAGTACTGGATAGTATGACTGAAGAACAGCATTTTTAATTTCATGTAGCCT